CTTTTAATCACCCGCTATTTACATCCAACCAGCAGGTGGCGGTAATGCATCTCTAAGCTTCTTCGCTGACCGCCAATAAATTCAAGAGTAGAGGGGCTTTTATGTTGGAAATACTAACCGGAAGTCATCTGGATATCGTGTGACTTGACCTTTTCTTCAGGTTGAAGCCAGCGATGGTACTCTTTGTTAAGTAACGTGGTGGTAAACGTTGCTTTCAGACAAGATTTGCTCATTTAAATAGCCGCTGTCGCCGTGTCTGCCGTCATTTGTTCATACAAGTTAAAGAAGCGGTCGAACTTCGCTTGTGGGACTACTTAAATCGCAGTTCGCTGACGCTGGTGTGTTGGCTGCAGTTCGAGGGGGGATGTCTCTTCACGGCAAAAGAAAAGAAATCTACAAATACGAAGCGCCATGGACGGTGTACGCCATGAACTGGAGCGTCCGTCCGGACAAACGGTTTCGGTTGGCTCTCGGCAGCTTCGTGGAGGAATACAACAACAAGGTGCGCAGTGTGGTTTGGGCCGCCAGCAGCTAACGCAGCGTTGACGAATTAATGCTAATGCTAGCTGCCCTAGCGTACAATAACAATGTCCGATCTGTTGTTATTTACCAGTAAAACTAAAACAACAACAGTGGGCATATGTGTTAATAACCAGCGCGTCTTTTGTTGTGTATTACTAATAATATCCCTTAGTAACGCCACTATAAATGGATAATTCTAACTCCGAACCCCCTTGGGAACAGTCATTTGGTTTCATTCCCGATATGTCAGTTCGTCTGTTTGATATGACAGGAGATGTTTTTCCCTCCTGCACAGGTTCAGCTGGTGGGTCTGGAGGAAGAGAGCTCAGAGTTTGTCTGCAGGAACACATTTGACCACCCTTACCCCACCACCAAGATCATGTGGATCCCAGACACGAAGGGGGTCTATCCAGACCTGCTGGCCACCAGTGGGGACTACCTGCGCATTTGGAGGGTAAGAATACAGATAACTGTGTTTTATATAGGAAAATCCTGAACACGCTACAAAGAGAACAAGTAAAATATAATAGATAATATGAATTAAAACCGCGAGTTTCCAAAAGTGACTTAAAAGAAAACGGCAAACAAGACACGGTTAGAGTAGTATGTTGTGAGCAAAGGGGTCACCACACAGGAGCGAGGGTGTTGGAAGACATGTATGAGTACAGCGTGATAGTGGTGAGGATCAGCTCTGTGCCCCTTCTTGTTTGCACTGGTGATGGACAGGCTGAGAGATGAGGTTAGACAGGCGCATCCATGGACTGTGATGTTCACATGATATCGTGATCTGTAGTGAGAGAAGGGAGCAGCTGGAAGAAAGTCTGGAGAAGTGGAGGTATGTTCTAGAGAAGATTAAATTATTAGAAGAATCAAAACAGAATATATGTGAGTGAATGAGAGGGTGACACGTGTAACAATGAAGACGCAAGCAGCATAGGTAGGCAATAGGGCTGAACGATTATGGAAAATAATCTAATTGCGATTTTTTGCCCCAATATTGCGATTGCGATGCGATATGCGATTATTTTTTAAGGTCTTTGTCTTCTGTATTATTAAACAAAGACAAGCAATACATCATATAGTATGGCCAATACTATATTACATTAATTTTAAACTGTTCTTTCCTGGAAGACAGACCTCTGTTATGATGACATGAGGTGATGCATGAATTGATGACTGACATTTTTATTTAACTTCTTCAATCACAACAGTATATTTGAACATACACAATAGTTTATTTTTAGCTTACAAACATCTGAGCATAAAGTGCTGACAAGGAACCCTGGTGTAAACATTAAAATGAAAGTCAGTACAATGTGCAGATTGCAGAAATATACATAAAAAAAATCAGTGGCTTTACCACACTCAGTTTTTCGACATCTGTGAACTACTAGACAGTCATTCAATTAAAAATAATATTAAATAAATAAAACTAATAAATAAAAAATACACACATCTTACTGATCTCTGCAGTCAGTAACATTACACATAAAGTGCAAACATAATAGCAATTGTATAAACACACACACAAACACGCCTTAAAAATTTAAAGGCGTTAAATTGGACGGTCTAGCGGCTAGTTCTGATTAGCGTCACCGCTGTCTCGGTGGAGTTTAATAAACTCGGCCGTCTGCTTCTTGCTATCTAAAATATAACCAGACACTGGTGTAAATTCTCGACTGTCTCATACTTCTGTTTAATAAGTTTTCTGTTTGACGTTTAGTCAGCTGTGTGAAAACCAAGGAGGAACCCAGCCGGGGGATTAATAAAGTTTTATTTTATCTAATCTAATAACTTTAATCTCAGCCAAACCGATTTACTCACGAACAAACAAAACACTGAAAAAAGCCCAACAATAACATTTTTAGGTTGTCTAAGTGACTTATATATTACGTTTAACCCGAGCAGCGAAACTCCGCGGTGATCTGAAAATGATGTGCCGGGAGCTGTGCCGTTCTCGGCCGCATCAGTAACCCTCGAGCTCCCGGCTAGCTGTCGAAGCACTTTTGCAAATATGGGATATCTTGATAAACCGAGCAGATATTTGATGTTTACACAGCTACTTTCTCGCCTGAAAATATGTTAAAAGTTTATTTTGTGACCCAGAAAGATTAGTATGAGTAATTTTAAAACTTAGTAGCGGCTGCCATTGCTGGAAACTGGAGTTTGGCTGGGCCGCGCTATGAATTCTGGGATATGGTAGTAATTTGGACAGCCTTCGGCGCGTCGCTGTGACGTAATCGGTCTACAAATGCGGCCTCAGGAGGATGCAGCCCATGAATTTGGACATGTCCAGAGTATAATCGCAGCCTTTGCGGTTAGAAAATTGCACTTGATCATGTCGCGATATTATCGCAAATGCGATATATCGTTCAGCCCTAGTAGGCAAGAGAGGTGAAGAAGAGAGTGCAGGCAGGGGGAAGGGAGTGGAGATGAGTTTCAGGGGTGATTTGTAGCACAAGGATAGGAGGAGTGAGAGGGGAGGTTTACAGAGTGATAGTGAGATTAGACATGATTAGAAATGAGTACATCAGAGGGAAAACTCAGGTTGAGTGGTTTGGAGCCAGATTTAAAGAGGCAAGGCTGAGATGGTTTGGACATGTTCATAGGGAGTGATGGCGAATATTGGTCAAAGGAGGCCTGAATATGGAGCTGCTAGACAGGAGTAAAATAGGAGGACTACAGAGAGAAGATTCGTAGATGTAATGAGAAAGGACATGCAGAGGGTTGGTGTGACAGAAGAGGATGCTTAGAGACAGGGTGAGATGGAGAGAGATGAGCTGCTGTGCTCTAAAAGCAGCAGTTGAAAGATGAAGAATAACAGGGAAGAGATCAAGATGACATCTCTTTATGACCTACTGGCTTTTAGAGTGATCATTAAATATTTTTAATACCTACTATTATGTTTTAAGTTGTACTCTAAAACAGACGGGGAGTAAGTCACCTGATTAAATGTAAGAGCCTGTGGGGCGAAGAAGAATTTGCATTAATTTAACTGGGATGAAATGAATGCATGATTCTGCTTGTTAAAGTCTTAGGAGATAAAATGAGCAGATAACAAATGTAACTGGAGGATCAGACACAAATAAGAGCTATTTTGTGTCTCTGCGCTATGGAGCTTTGCTGTTGTTAAAAAAATATATATTAATAACACATCAATGACCCACATTTTACTTCTTTATTATGAACTGAAAGTGTCCCGCTGTTCTAACTATTACCTCATGGAACAAATGCATGATTTAATCCTCTTTAGTTGCTAAAAACATATCCAGCTGTTTTAAAAGCAGGAAATATTGCATTTGTGAATTGTTGAGGACTTTCAAGAAGATGCATTTGGTCTTTTTTTTAATGTTTTCATAGCAAAAGTAAACACGGTATTTCCAGCCTTATTTAACTTGTCTGCTGCTGAAATGCACAACTGCATGTAAAAGGACTAAAAGATTTTTTTCGTCCTGGAGGCTGGCTGGTGGCACATTAGCTGGTAGCACTTGTTGTATAAGTCCTTGGGTTTGTGTTGCAGGTCAGCGACACAGAAACACGTCTTGAATGTTTGCTGAATAACAACAAGAACTCAGACTTCTGCGCTCCCCTCACCTCCTTTGACTGGAATGAAGTCGATCCTAATCTACTTGGTAAGTAACCCAGTATGTCATAAACTGTAAAGAGTTACTAAATTGAATGTAGTTTTTCTTTCTTTTGTGACCTTTGAAATCGTTAAGCTTTGTTGCTTTTTCTGCAGGTACTTCCAGTATTGACACCACCTGCACAATCTGGGGGTTGGAAACCGGCCAGGTGTTGGGACGAGTTAACCTTGTGTCTGGACACGTGAAGACCCAGCTGATCGCCCATGACAAAGAGGTGTGTGTGTTTGGAGCCCAGAGGTGATCCCTGTGTTGCTGTGTATGCACAGGAATATTTAATTGAATCCAGCTGTTTGTCTCTGCAGGTGTATGACATCGCGTTCAGCCGTGCAGGAGGTGGCAGAGACATGTTCGCCTCTGTTGGAGCCGATGGATCCGTCCGCATGTTTGACCTGCGACACCTCGAGCACAGCACCATCATCTACGAGGACCCCCAGCACCACCCGCTCCTCCGTCTCTGCTGGAACAAACAGGACCCCAACTACCTGGCCACGATGGCCATGGACGGCATGGAGGTGGGTTTGCTTTAAAATACTATGACACTTTTTTTTTTGTTTGTTTGTTTTAGGGAGCAAAAAAAGTAACATTTAGATTTTTTGGGGCATGTAATTATCAAAGTACCTCTTCCAGAGTTTTCCATTAAATACCTCAGCAGAAGGAGATTCCCAGAAAGACCTTAGCCATTTTGTAACATCAGGCCACATTTTATCTGTTTGAGGAAAATAGTTTTATTATTATTTAATTTGAAATCTTTTTGTTTAATAGGTGGTTATCCTGGACGTACGCGTGCCCTGCACTCCAGTGGCTCGGCTGAACAACCATCGCGCTTGTGTTAACGGCATCGCGTGGGCACCGCACTCCTCATGTCACATCTGCACCGCAGGTAAGCAGACTGCAAGCAGGCCTTCAGTAAAATTAGAACCACTCACGGAGATGTGTGATCTCAGGTACCACCGCTAAGACATAAAATAACAGACTTCAGTGTTTAACTAGAAGTTTATATTTGTGTTTTTAAAGGCTTGTAAGATACCAATATGCTGGATTTTGATTGGTAACATTAACTTATCTTTTCTTAGAAACAGAAAACCAGGACTCATGCTACAAAGTCATTCACTTGTATTTTGATATGCTTAAGACAAATAGCGACATATACAATATGAAAAAAACTACGTGTGGGTAATTTAACCATTTAGTGGGGCTTTATCCTTCAGTGGGAAATTTGTGAAATGTTGTGATTGGCCCATTAAGTACTGTTGTTCCATTTCCACAAACTACAAACACGCTCCATCTACCACAAGCAGCGGACTTCAAGCACACTACAAAAAAGTGTAACAGTCATAATTATTTGGCCATCAAATCTCCACCTGTCCATGTCTGTAACGGGCTATAATTGAGGCTTTTGACTGTAGTCGTATGTCCTGCTTCTGATGTTACGGGCCATGAAATGTTTAATTGGTGCATTATGTAAAAGATTATAACATGCTATTTTATTTTTGTGGTTTTATGATATTTGGCAAACAGCTTCGACCATATTTGGGCAAGGGAGGTGCATTACCTACTGCCAAGCAACAGTGAAAACAACAAAAGGAAGCGACACAGCATGCAAAAACCTTTCATTTATTTGTCTTCACTTTTTTTTTTACAAAACTTTTTTTTTTTTTAGATTTTTTTTTAAATGTCAAAACATCTAGATTAACATGCAAAAACAGATTTGATCGGTCTTTGTTCGTTTCTTCAGAATTTTTAATTTGAAATAGCAAACTGTGTCCGTTCTTTGAATTATTTTGGTTTAGGAAAAATGCAAATAGATAAATACTGAATGTTGCACTCACTCCTCACGCCGTGAGCGGGGGTTTCGCCTTATAGCCAAAATGTTTGCTGGATGAGGATATGGAGCGAAATAGTGCATGGTTTATTTACCAAATTTCCTCTTGTGGGACAATTAAATGATTATTCTATTCTATTTACAGTTTATTGTAGATGTTTTGCAGGCCGTGAGGTTGAGATAACAAACATTAGAATTATCGGAAATTCCTTTTCTTGACAGTGTCAGGCTGTTTCTTTATGGGTGGTTTTTCTGTACCGAGTCTCACGTATTTTAGGACATGAAATATTGCATAAATGATTTGATTTGTCTTGTAAACCATTACCTTAACAAAGTGTAATGATTTTACTTTAAACACCAAAACCAACATTTGTCTACTTAAAATAAGTTTGGGCAGAAATACAAAACGATATTTAATAAAAACACTTTAGTGTTGTAAAAGTGTGTTGGGCGAGACTTCTCTTTAAAGAAGAGTGCTTTGCCTTTCCCATTTAGTTTTTTTTCTTTTTTTTGGTAACTGAAACAACCTTCTCTTTGTTGTCAGTATGTCAGTGATTAAGTCAATAAAATCGGTCATAAAAAGCCCGTGGATGGGCCAAATATTCAGTGCAGCAGTTATCCAAATGTTGTGTTCGTTGCTGTAGAAAGTATAACAAAGATTCGATTCACGATTTTAGATGACTCTGCCGCACATCATCACGTCAGAATAGATCAGAACAGCAGTTTTCCAGCTTTAAGCCAGGGTCTGGATAGAAAGGTGCACCGTTCTTTGCTGCTTTTAAGAAAATTCAATATTAGCAGTGTGCTCATTTTGTTACATTTTCTTTAAAGTTATTTTGCCCAGCCCTGGCATACTTATGTTAGAGGAAGCACTTAAACATTTTATTTCCACCTCAGCACCGATATCTCTGCTTTGCCTGCTTCCCGGGTTTCCTTTTCTTTTCTTTTTTTAAAAAATTCATTAATTGATTGTTTACATTTTATTGTTCCCTTTTCTTTCCGTCTCCTCTAAGCTGACGACCACCAGGCCCTGATCTGGGACATCCAACAGATGCCACGGGCCATCGAGGACCCGATCCTGGCCTACACCGCCGAAGGCGAGATCAACAACGTGCAGTGGGCCTCCACGCAGCCGGACTGGATCGCCATCTGCTATAACAACTGCCTGGAGATCCTGCGTGTGTGAAGTCACGGAGAAGGAGCGCCATTTCAGATGTGGACTTTTTTTTTTTGCCGTTCTCATTCCTACGTTTTTAAGACGAGGATGAGGTGTCGAGTGAACTCTCTGAATGTGTTTGGAATATTAAACACCTGCTCCGCAATAACCTGGTTTACAATGTTTTTTCCATGTCTTTACTGTTATATTAACCGTGTTTAAGCACTTATTTATTTTGCTCACATGGTAGTGTTCAGCAGCTGGAAGAGACACGAGTGCTTTGAGCTGCTGCGTATGAAAGTCCGATTTTTGTACTCCTCGGTGTGATTTGTAGCCAGCCGTGTGATATTCATGAAGGGTTTACCTTCCTTGTACATTTCATCTGTTTCCTTTCTAAAGGTTGATACCAGCTACTGTAGGTGCCAGAAGATGGCCTCTCTAATATGTAGGAATATGTTGTAGCCTTTCTCGTGAATGCATACCTTCTTATCGATAATTCGAGGATTAATATATTGCAGTCTTGTTTACCCTTGTGGCAATTAAAGCTGTTAAATTTGGGTGTATGTACTCTCTTCAGATGACTGTGCCCAGCCTCAAGCTTGTGACTGGTGCAACTTTTCGAAAAATGTAAAATAACCTGAGAGGGTTCATGTTGTCACTGCAGTGGTGTGTCATCATATGTTGTGTTTTAGTTCGGCTGGCGATGCTGTGAAGCAACCGTGTACAGCAGCACTCAAAACCTACCAGAGCAATGTTGTTCAACCTTTTATTGCCCCCCCCCAAATTATTCAATTATTCTCCTCTTTGTCTTATTTTTACATGTAGAAAGTTGTGCTTGGAAAGCTGCATTTTTTTTCATGCGCGTGAGCTGTAAAAATGGGAGGAAACAACTTTCTGACTGTTTATGTCTGCCTCTTTTTTTGTTGTTGTTTTCAGTAATTAAAGGGTCATGTCCTTGTAGCATGCCATTACAAGGCAAATTGTACATACATATAAATATATCAACTCAAGTTGTTTGTAAGACAAGTGTTCATGCCGTAGTTTTGTTTTCTTTTCATAAAGTTTAATATGGAATTTACTCAAATAAATTGTATTCCTCCATGTCTTACAAACTAAGCCTTGTGTTGCCTTATTTCTTTTTTGCCCCCCAGCTTTTGTAAGATCATTTTACTGTTGCTGCCTTTGCATGGCACGAGTTAATCTATTTAGAAAGCTACTGCCGTCAGCACATTCATCCTGCAGTTCTCAGAGAGCCAGAGCTGTCTATTTACAGTTCGGGGTCATTTTCACCTTACGCTCAGTTGCCTCTCTCCAATAAACATAATTTCAGTTTGTTGGTAGAAGGGTGAAAAGAGGGGGCACCCGGATTTGAACCGGGGACCTCTTGATCTGCAGTCAAATGCTCTACCACTGAGCTATACCCCCTACAGGTGCAATACTGTCATTTTCTCTTCTTAGTTGTCAGTTCCCTGATAGGTCAAAAACACAGTTCTTGTAAAAGAGGTAGCTTTTTTTTTCAGTGCAAAAAAACCTCAACATTGCACTTCCCATCAATAATTTTAAGGTCTGATACTTGCTTTTCATAAGAATTTACTACTATTCCTCCTGAAAATTCTGAAAGGTGCAGCCTTCCATTTTAAATTGGGCTAATCTGCTCTTCCACTCAGCTTTCTGTGCAGCTGATAAATTTAGATCACTCCCTAGAAGTCACGTTATGACCACTTATGCTGGGCACATGCTTTAAATTTGTCACAGAAATTAAACATGAACTTTTCTTTTGCACTGACCCAAATTTTGAGCGGCGGATCACCACTGGCAACGGAAGCTGGGTTTCCAGGAACTGAGCTTTTTCATCAGTTTTCATGTGAAGAGTGGACAGTTTCCTTTTCACGTCGGGTTAAGAGGAAGCCCAGGAGGATACTAAACTGGCTTCATCCTGTTGTGCACTATAAAGTTGTCCCGAGTGTGAGACTATCAACAAGGAGTTCTAGTGTGATGCTCTGAGTTCTTTGGCCACACGCGTCATACTTCCTCATCACCTGCTCCCCTTGGCTTTGCAGGATTGCTGTTTTGACACATAGAGGACACCCAGCTGCCACTGCAAGTGATGCAACAGCAAGGGGACATAAGCGGCCTTCCTTTGAGAGACCTGAAAACATCAGCCTAATTGAAAACGGTGCAGAAGTGCAAAAAAAGTTGACCTTGAATGTGAGGTTGGCCAAATTTACATCAAGATTTTTTGCTTTTATACACGTATTCTTACAACTTGTTGATCGGGCTGAGGTGTACAATATTTAGGAAAACCCGTCCTCCTAAATGACACTATATTATATATTCATTGAAAAGCTTAGCTTTAGCGTGTTCTGTTATTTTGAAGTGTTTGCAATGTTTCATTTGGCATTGCAGTTATTATCCCAGCGCTCGGGTAAGTTACTTGGAAAACAAAAGGAAGTAACTTTGCAGTGTGTCTTTAATCTAAAAAAGACAAATAACAGGAATCTGTGCTTGAAGAAGCCTTTCACAGAATTATAAATGCTTAATAGGTCATTACATTCACCCCGTGGCTGGAACTGAGAGATCATCTCGGCGCACATTTAGACGTCGTCTCTGCGCCTGTATGCGATTGACAGTTACCATCCACTTCAAATGCCACTAAGCTGATTTCCCTTTACGTGCGTCCAGGGTGCGGTTTGTCCACTGCGAGTCAAAATAACTGAGAGAACAAGTCCTTCATTGTTGGCACTTTCAGATAAACACATCAGGAGTGTTACGACACCGTGTGACCACGCTGCTTTGAGAAATAGTCGACACACGTCTGAGGTGAGCGGATAAACAAACACAGAAACGGGAGCAATCAAAGCATTCGTGACCAAAAACAAAACTGTACGAGCTATATTTAAATGTACATGAAACTTTGGCGTTTTTTGTTTTGTTCTGTGCTGCTTCATTGTGTATATTCTAATATTTTCTCATGACACACTTGACACGTTTTCATTCACATCAAAATGCTGCAACAGGAAATATGAGATGAAAACGACGCTTTCTCCTACGTCTGCCATAAATCGTCATCCTTCACGGTGTGTGAGACAGTTATTGTACGACTTTTTGATATTTTTAAACATACACAACAACGACAAAACACTGAACCTAAACCACTCACAGTTGTTACATTTACTAAGTGCATGGTCCTGAATGTACCTATAAATATTTGCAATATGAAAATAATTTCATTTCCAAATAGCTAATTATAGTTTTCTATGTTCAAATCTAAATGTGCAATTCTTACACAAACTGACTGCAGATAATTCTTCAAACGTGAAACCTCTTAATTCTTTCTTGTCATTTCACTTCTCTTCAAGGACGCCTCCATGTAGGAGTGGTTGGTGTAGCTTTGAGATCCAGTGACTGCTTGGCATGTCCTGTAGATGTCAGTGCACCATCCTGCTCTTTATTGCACAGGACTTTGGGAGTGATGGGATGCTGGAGCACAAAACTACAGCAGCCTTGAGGGCATTGTTCGGTCTGTGCTTGAGAAACTCGAGACACTGTGTACCCTCTGTGATGTGAAAGGCAAGGCATCCCACGCTCCACAGCAGCATCTGAACAGGAGAGGAGGTTTAAATGGGAAGGAAGTACCGATGTGGGGAAAATATGGCTGTACTGTCCAAAGTACCAGGCTGTAGGGTGTGAGGGTCAGTGATAGCTCTTCTAGCTGCCCGGCAGGACAGGATCAGACACATGCCTCTGGATCTCCTGCATTTCTGTGGAGATCTCCAGGTGCTCCGGGAGAGAGGGGAAGCGCTGGGTGCCGCACAGAAGTCCCGAAGGCTCTTGGTCTCCAGAGCAGAAGATCTGAGGAGGAGTGAGGTCGACAGAGGGTAGATGTGGTCGGTCTGCCTCTGGTGACATGGACATGGTGTCATCTGATGCCACAGTTAGATGGATCCCGCTGGACAGGGAATCCTTGGATTTGTGCTTGCAGTCAGAGTCTGGACTCTGGAAAGACAGAGAAGTATTAGTTCATACAAGATTAGATATATGTAGTGTATAATTTAATTATATCAAATAAACGGCCTGACTGACGTTCTGTAGGACACAAAGGTCAGAATCTTTTTTAGAGTCTAATTTTTAAAAAAAAGTTTAATATTATGGATGTTTTGGGCTCAAAAAAGTGCTCTGAATCCAAAAGCAAGGAAGAAAGATCCTGCATTAACTGATCTCTTGCTACAGATAATGCAAGACATAAATGATGATTGGGGCGAAAAGGCAGTCTGTTATCTTGAAACCTGGAGATAATAATCATCGTTCGACTTGTAGATTTATCAGATATCTCTGTTATTCTTTTTCCTTTCAGGATTATGGATGTCTTAAGTTCTTATTTTCTTTTTCAACTCTGATGAACTGAATTGAATTGCTTAAATAGTTTTTCTGGCAAAAGTGTCAAAAAAAGTAATGACTATAGAGGAGCAATCTTATTGCACATAGCATATGATAAGTAAAGCACCTGGAGTAATGAGGCAGTGCTGTCGATCTGTGGTGGCTGCTTTGGAGGGACGGTGTGGATTGTGGGTGTGCCCGTGCTGTACAGTGTGGTGGGATGAGGTGGGTGAGGGCTGGGGGACACAGCGCTGTAGGCCGGAGGCACCGGAGCCATCTGTCTCTGAAGGAGCTGCAGGATCACATTAATGTCTGCAGTCATACGGGTCTCCAGTCTGGACAAGACAAGAAGACAAAGATATATGGCTTCAAGACTCTTTCACACATTTTTTCTTTGATTTCTATGATTTGATCCTGGTCAGAACACTTCTATAAAGCATTATGAGTGTTAGTACACTTTTCTCTATCTGTCGCTATAGAATCATCACGATCATTCACGTGGAAGCAGGCAGGCAGTTAAAAGAAGACACACATGATGGACATTTTCAGTCTCACCCCTGACCCTTTCTTATCTCTGTTTATTTTGTTCTTACTCCTCCTTTTCTCTCACACACATGCAAAATAGCCCCATGTAGTAAGCACTCAGCTGGAAACTGATATGCAAACACAGAAAGGGTGGAGCTGAAATGCAAACACTGCCTTGGGACAACAGTGACAAATGCATCCACCTCCCAGGGGCCTCAGCACCGGGGGTATAGCTCAGTGGTAGAGCATTTGACTGCAGATCAAGAGGTCCCCGGTTCAAATCCGGGTGCCCCCTTTTTGTTTATTTCTTTAATTCTAAAACAACATAAGTCTAGCTTACCGGTTTAGTTGTGACTGAAGCAGCTCCAATCGAGACTCTAGCTCACTGGGCCGATCTTCAGCACAGGGTGAAGGGTGAAAACTCGCCCTTACTGAGGATGGCCGCCTCTGGCTGTCTGAAAACTGGCTTGCTCTGCGGTCTGGCCAGTAGCTATACAGGCCTGGCATGTTGATAGGGGTTGCTGCTGTGCAAAAGTAAAAGAACAATCATTTCTTGAAAAAATGTTTGTTAAAATATGCGAATGTATTACTCCACAGTTATTTTTTATTTATCTATCAGTGCTGCATTCAAACCAAAAAAAGCAAATTAAAATGGAATAAAAAATTTACATTTGTGGAGTTTTTGTGTTCTCTGTGCCTCCAAAAGTGTTTTAAGTGGATTTTACCTGAGTATGGAGGTCCTCCAAGGTCTACAGGCGGGCCGAGTCCAGCTGAAGGTCCACTGTGAGGCAGAAGGTTGACTACTGCGGATGGATAGTCTCTGGTATCACCCGCATGGGGGTACAACTCCCCTTTGCTGTGTCCTATGGGCTTCATTTCCTCATCACTAGACTGTGAACATATACTAGCACTGCTGCAGAGGTCTTCCCAATGAGATCCTGCCATTTTTCCCCGGTGGTGGTTTGACATCGAACGTGACTGATCTGGGTAAGAGTCTTCACGATCCATCCCGTCTGTCCACACAGAGTCACAGCTCAGATAGGAATAAGACAATAAGTTGATACAGGAGCATTTGGCGTTAGACCGCGTCCCTTACTCACCTGGCCTGTTTCTCCGACGCAGTGAGCTTCTCCGATGCCTCGTCAGACGATAGCCACATTCAGAGTCCCTGCCTGGGGTTGTCTGGTTTATTCTATCTACCTGATACAGATCAG